AAAAAAAAAAAAAAAAAAAAATCCCAATTTCTCAAGTGGAGTTCTACGGTTTTTACAGAGTTTAAGTGGCCCTCGGTCTCAAACCGTTGAACCGTTGAACCGTTGAACCGTTGTTCTCAACCCTCATCAAGCTGTTATCACATCATTCATTTGTGCCATTTCTCTGTCCATTTATTCAGTTTGATAAGAAGTTAATATAGAAAGACAAAGTCTCCAAAATTCTGGGACTTTTTTAGTGTCTGGTAAGAAGTCTATTTCCTTACCATTCGATGGTCTAGCATGACCTTAAAATCAGATCCATTTGGGAAAGAGACCTAACTTTAGGAACTGATAATAGATTTTGATCAACCCATTGTGAACCTAAAAATTTTATTATGGACTGAAACAAAACAGGAACTGAGTTTCAGCAAGTTTTTAGGTACCATATTCCGTCAGTGTCTCTTGTTTTTTGAGGTGAAAGTCTGATTTTTAATCGTATTTTACACATGATGCCCAGTGGGATAAAAAACTTTTCTACCACGTCTCTGTATTAGATTTTAGACTACCTCTTTAATCATCTTGCATTTTGGCTCCCACTGCCTTCTCACATATTATTTATACACCCCTAATCCTGTCTCAAATTAATTCACAAGCTACATTTTTAAGATATTTGTTCAACTGCTATGATCACTAATTCCACAAGCGTTTCCTCTAAATCATGGTAATCAGTTGACCTATCATATAAATTCACAAAAGTAATGATTTTGTGTAAAAAATGTGTTCAATTAATTTTGTTCTCATACTTTGTATTGTGTGCCTTTACGCCCCCCCTCCCTCCCTTTATCTAACAGCTCTTGTTTTGTATGTGCCCACCTTTTTCCATGGAGCAGGCAATTTTGTAACATACTGTGAATAAAATTTAATTTAAAATTTCCTCTCTGTTTTTATTTTTTTTTTAACTGCTCCTGAAGTAAAACAAACTTATCCCCCATCTTTATGAATATTATCATGTAATATCAAACGCATAAAATAATTTAAGAAACGACTAAGTTTTCAGGATTTTGTAGTTATAGATGAAGGCTTTTTTTTTCACACCTTTTGCTCCTTATTGCTGTGAGAAATTAGTACCTACTAGGCCAATAATAAGTCTTTAAAATACCTAAATAGTCGGTTGTTTTTATCGGCCCTTTATGGTGAAAATTTTTTAGATGAACTCTCACAAAGAGTATGTGTTTTAAACAAACATATAAAGAGGACTTGATGCTGAGTTGACATGATAATTTAATTTGAACATAATGGAATTACTGTGTTCTGTTGTATGGTTATGCAGCAAACATGTGGTTATTTTTCAAGCATGTCATCACAATTTGGTGAATGGATTTCAATGTAATGATAAGAATCGATTTCTGTTAATATGAAAAAAGTGCTTTATTTTCATAATCTAAATGTATCGCAGGGGGAAATCTGTTGAAAAGCTTTTTTCAAGAACTCAGAAAGAACCAATAATTTATGAGGGAGGGAATCTTTTTTACACAACTGTGAAGTCTTTACTCCGGAAAAAAAATAAAATAATAAAAAAAAGAGTGTAAAACGCTCCTTAGAAAACCATCATGAATTTTTCCTTGAATTTTTTATGATTTACTTTCTTGTTCCCCTTGTTCACACTATGTGTTAAAAAACAAAGCAACAAGTGTGGTTACAAGTATTTTTTAACACTTTTTCCTTAACTTTTACCACTTGAAGATTTCACTTAATATATACTTACATACTTACCAAGAAAGAGTTTCTGTCTGCAAATTTGATCCATTTTTTTTTTCCTGGAGGTTGTGAGTTGTCTCTCAATTTTAAAGGTTTTTCAACATTAGTTGCAATGAAGGATAAAAACTTATCAATTTTACGGACCTCATAAAAAAGTCAGCAGTTTTATCAATTGATTCAAAATATATCATACTTTTGAGTGGACAAAGAAATTGTTTTCCTCTATCTAAGGTTTCGAGAAACTTTGAAGTAGGTCTCACATGCAGTTCGAGAATCATTCCTGCCGAGGGATCTAACATCCCACAAAAAAGAATGCATATGCTTACTTACTTAATGAATCTACTTGGCTCACCCTCATTTCCCCGTCATTTGTCATGAGTGGCAATTAGCACTTTTTTCTATGCTCATTCAAGAAAAAATGTTTTTCCTTGTTGAGCGTTATTCTGCTCATTTACACCTACGTCATAGAGAAAAAAGAGGAGGTGTTTGCATTTCAGGCATCTTGGAATTTTTTTGATGACGTAGGTAGACACGGCAACTTTAATCATCGATTGCCTTGGAAATAGTGCAGTTTATGGAAAAAATGCATTCTACTTAAAGTGTTTGAAATTATCTAATGAGTTGATTTAAGCAAAAAAATGAGACGTTATGGTCTGTCTTTCGTATTTCGAATTCCGGATTTTGCTGACTAGGATGTACCGACCTACGTCACAGGGTACACAATCCTCAAGATAGGAACACCTCCTTTTTTTTCTCTATACACCCACGTAACTATTAACTAATGATCATGAAATCTATCTTTTCATATCAATCATTCGTTTTTCACAGCAAGCGCACATGTGTCTTCTCAAACCATCTCAAACATAATTTTTAGTTTTTCCCGCTAAATTTAATCGACCAATGAAAGTCATGCAAAACAGTAGGAGCTCACAAGTGGCCTGTGATTGGCTAATTTTTCATGAATCAAAAGTCAAAACATAACCTCACTTTCTTTTACGTTCGTTTGTTTTGATTTGATGTCAGACAGACTTTCCCATTTAAAATGTGTGCATTAATTAATTTAAAATTCTCTTGATTCATAGTCTGCATACGTCGTGACGGTAGTTTATATTGTGCTCTCTCACGCCACCAGCCCGTTTGTAGTTTCCGTATTTCTTAGCCATCAGTAAAATGGATAAAAACGACGCTGATGGAGACTCTTCAAAAAATGACAAGATGTTCACTCTGAAGAAATGGAATGCGGTCGCCATGTGGAGCTGGGATGTTGAATGTGACACTTGTGCCATTTGCCGTGTCCAAGTCATGGGTAAGTTCTATGAAGATAATGTTCAGCTTTGATTTCGATCGTCCTGTTAAGAATACCCCCGGTCAAAAGAATTTCTGTCGCTCCTCGGCAATGGGTGTTAGGGGCAGGTCTGTCTCACAACTATATTTATGACAATCAAGTGCCATAAAAATCAGCCCGCAAAGTTCTTGAAAACTTCAATGACTGCATCACCTTTCTTGCTTGAGGTTCTCCTCGTTCAAGGAAGTATGGACTGATTCAGTGATAATGTCATAGTATCACATTGCAGTTTGATAGTTCAGTTGTAAACAAACACATAACCTTGTCTTTAATTTGTGGCATTGTGAGGTGCATTGCTATAGTCTCCGACATTTCCAAGAGACAACAACAATTGTTGTTAGACTCTGGAGGAATAACCAGCAAACTTGCTACGTCAGTCTCTGAACTGCTTTCCAAGTCCCTGATCTCCCGGGAACCTGGGGTCGGAGACTACAGGGAGCAGTGTTCGAAACTCACCTTTGAATTTTAGGAGCCATGTGGCGTACCAAGCCCGATTTTTAGGTGCCATTGAAGATTTTTTAGGGGCCAAATTGACTTTTTGCCTATGTATTATGGCGCATTTAGTGAAAAGTTAGACGCAAGATGTTTTCGTAACAGAACTAATAGTAGCTGTAACTTGGGGAAGACAAAAGCACTAAGAATGAAATCGTGGAGAATAGAAAAAGCGATTAAGCTTTCACTTGTAGCGCTGAAAATCCTGAGTTTTTCCAATTCAAATATAGATTTGTTTTTCTTTCTTTATGTGACTTCCCGTGAAAATCCAGATTTTTAGGGGCCACGTTGGCGCAGAGTCTCCATTTTTTAGGCACCATGGCCGATTTTTTAGGCGCATTTGGCGCGTTGGCGCCTGTGAGTTTCGAACACGGACAGGGAGTGATGTATAAGTTGGGTCAGCTTTACTTCCTCTTCACTTCGCGTCTTTTTTCTCCGCTAACATCTAATGAGGTTTTGGGCCTGCTGTTGATTTATAGTTATGAAAGTTTTGAAAGGTGAGAAAGTGTGAGTTTATACGTGTGTCCTTTGACTCTTGAATTTTCTTGCTTTCATCATTTTATGGATTTACGCACTTAAAGTTACTATGGATTTACACACTTACAGTTGTGCCTTAGATGATGTACTGCATGTTGAACTTGGAGGTTTTCATGAAAGATTCTGCTGCTTACCTAGTTTTGATGTAAGGCTGTGTCCACGAAGAGAAGGAGAAACCTTTATGCTGAATTAGAAGCTGATACAGTGTAGTTTTATTATATTTACCTACCACCCTATTTCTTTTTTTCTCCCTCTGTTTTTATGGGCATTGCTGAAATCCACAAATTATCTGAACTAGGCACTAATTTTTTAAAATTTTTAGTTAGGTTCTGTCACGTCAGTGGGATCTGTTGAGTTTTAGACGGACTGAAAAACGTCTAAGAATCCTTGACGCGGCGGAAAATTTAACGGAGTTGTGGGAGAGCAAGAAATTAAAATATTTGAAGGGCCGAAAAGAACTGATGTATTGAATTTAGAAAGTTACAGAATTACATAGAATAGTCACACTTAGAATAAATAATGCCAGAGGAGAGAAAATGACATAACGTAGTACTACGGGTCAAGATGGTAAAAGGACCTCGAGAAATGGGCAGCGCAAGCTTTTATAGACTTGCTGACGTCACAGGTGGTGAGACAACAAGTCTACACGCTATTGGCTGGCTATAATCAGTGGAGCTATCAGCTGCAAGTTCAGTAATAAAAGTAATGGGTAATTTAAGGTGATGGCTGGGAGATAGGACTGAAAAAGAGGAAAGTGTACCAAATCCAGCCATCCCTAATGAGTGAACTGAATATGCATAAGAAATTTATAAGTTTAGAAAAGAACAAGTTGCAGGTAATTTAATACCTGTGACAGGTTCTGTTCATTCAATTGGTGGTGTATTTTGTTAGACTAAAACCCAGGGACATGATATAATCCAAAGCTTTGAGGAAAAAGATGCCTCAAATTGAGCGGAATATTTCCTTCTGAACAAGGTCAAATCAACTGCAGGAGAGGGTGGCAGTTGACATCTCCTCCCCTTAGCCCTTCTCAATTAAATTGGCTCTCCTATAATCCTGATTCTTCCCAGGAACTGTGCCTGTAGCTACTAATAGCTTAAATACCTACTTCCAGTCAGGGCCGGATTAAGGGGGTGGCCACATGGGCCGCGGCCCATGGCGGCAAATCTAGGGGGCGGCAAATTTTGCAATTTTTTTAAATGTAGGTATAAAAAAAATCTGATTTAGGAAAAAAATTACTAACGAGAAAAGGCGACAAAATCTCTCATTTCCTGAGAGTATAGTAATTTCTAATTTTGTCGTCTTTCAGTGATACAAGAGACAGCACCTTCAATTAGTCGAGTTAAGAGAGAAACCAAACACGCAATTTGGCCTGGAACGGCGCGACTTAGATAGAAATGATGACGAGGACTTAAGATGAAAAGGAGAAACCCTCGGTGTGGCGATCGACATTTAACATATATTAGCGCCTACCAGACTGCACGAATACTTCACGCATTGCATCAAACACAGTGCGGTCGCGGTCATTGCGGTCAGCGTGAAACGGATAGCGCCTACAAGAATGCATGAATACGTTACGCATTGCGGCAAACACAGTGCGATCAGCGTGAAACGCATAGCGCCTACAAGACTGCGTGAATACTTCACGCATTGCGCCAAACACGGTGCGGTCTGCGCGGCGCGGCGGCGGAAGTTAAAATCGTTAAACCACATTATTTCATGTTCGTTCTTTCATAAATTTTTCGTTCATTTCTTATGAATGGAAGGTCTTGTCCACACAGAGATAGGTTTACGAAACTTAACTTTCGCGCAAAGTTCCATGAACTTTTGCTAGTAGTGTTGTCAGGGCTTTCCCAAAAAATGTGTTCAACACGAGTAAACGCGTCTTATGCACCCTTCCCCCGCTGGCACGTTCATTAGATGGTTTTCATTGATGTTTTAAAACGAATGAGAAGGGGGCGGCAAAATACAGGCGGCCCATGGGCGGCAAGTAGGTAAATCCGGCCCTGCTTCCAGTTGGATTGCATTTTGCCAAAAAGAACCAAAAGCATTCCAATGCTTGCTAGGATTGTGCAACTTACATTCTTGGCAGTACCATTACTGAAATCATGCAAAAACTTTAATTTATGAAGGCAATTTTTTTCATGAAGCTATAGTTCATGAGAGTAAAGCTAAAACTTGCTTGGATGATCAGTTTATATTTGCAAGGTAGGTAAACAAAGTTGCACAATCTTGGCGATATTGGAATGCGCTTGGTTCCTTTTTGCGAAACGCAATCCATTTTATCTTCTCGTTTTGATCAAGTAATTGACATTGATGAAAAATAGCCCCAAACCTGACACCTTACATGAACAGCTGTCATCTATTAGCGTGTTGTGCAACTGGAAGGGCTCTTAGTTGACGGTCAGAGGTCACCAGGTCTGTAGCCACTAGCCATGCATAGGATTATTTCGAGGCGTAAGAGTTTTTGCCTAGTCGCTTTAATGAAGGAGAACAACCTGGCGTCGCAGAGTGTGGCTGTAAGTAAGCAATCGAGTGCAGTGTAGCGTGCCTTCGTCGGCACCAGTGGCGTGGCGTGAATTGCGATGTATCGATTGTTATGCCATTTAAACCTATGGTAAAGAATCGATTATTAAGGTGCTGTAAACACCCTGTCTATCGATCTTTTTCCATAAGATTAAATGGCATAACAATCGATGTATCGCAAAGCACGCCATGCCACTGATGGGGATAGCAGGTGAACACGTTCCAAACAAGTTGAAATTTGCATATCCTTAGAGATCTGTCTGTGTGCTTTACTTTTTTGCGAAACTCAAAACTTGTGAATGGCAGTAAGGTTCCTAACGCCTCGAAAAGTCTTTGGACAGGCTCAATTTTTTTTCCCTTTTCTTTTTCTCAAGAATTTTCAAGTGCTCTCGGAATGAATCTAATTTTTAAAAAAAATCGTCTGGTAGTTACCTGAGAGTCCTTGAATTTCGCCTCGTTCAGTTTTATTTTGTTGATGGTCTTTTGCAAAATTGTCAAGTCAGGAAATGAAGGCCTGCCTACGCAGGCATTTTTCTCGGTCGAGCTAGGGAAAAGATATCGAATTTGTAAACGTATTTTTTGAAATTTGTAGCACATTGGGGGGGGGGGGGGGTAAAAAAGTCCAATCTTGCGAGTCGAGGATCAGGGCAAATGTGAGGCAATTTTCTGAAGTGATGCATTTTTTCTTTCGCTGTGCGCATTACTTTTAAAAACTGGGCCTGCTGCACGTTTGGTCATGAGGCATCAATAAAACGATGTTTCAAAAAATATTTCCCGCCAAACAATATTCTTAATGACTTTCTCCTCACTCTGAATTTTGATTCCTTCTTCGGAATTCGACCTTTGGACCGTCCCTCCTTCCTCACCCCGTCCATCGTGCATCTTAAAAAATGATTTTATTAGAATAGGGAGGATTTTCATTCGTGAAGTTGGAGAAAAACTGGGAAGTGTTAAGAAAATTTGGTAGAAGTTGCCCGGAATTTTGTCGGTAAAATCAACGGAAAAGTCACAGAAATTTGAAATTCGACTAAACTTGCAAACCTTAGGAAGAAAATATTTCGGACATAACTCGAGTGCAGCCTGAAAATAATATCGTCCTCGAACAGCTCTAGGATTAGATTGAAAGGAGAAGACGAAATTTATTTTGAAAATAATTTATGTATTTAAAACAATAACAAAATTTCAAGTCTAAAACTTGGGTTTTCTCGTTTTTGTTCTAAAATCTTCATTTCCTTTTATTATTCTCTTACGAGCCTCGATGAGGCTTATTACAATTTACATTCAATTCGATAGTAATAATTATAAGAACAATAAAAAAACGTTTAAAATTCACAATAAAACTAGATGACTATTTTGATTACCTAAGTTTCTACGTTTATTTTGGAACTTTAGTTTACAATCAGTCGTCTGAGTGAGCTAGTCCTCAGAACAGTGCGAATCAATTGCGTTTCAGAGCACCCTCAGCACTATCGGCTGTATTTTTTTTTTTTTTGTGTCTCCATAGGGTCAATTTGATAGCATTTATTTCTTCTATGACTAATCATAAAATAAATAAATAAGTAATAAATAAATAAATAAGTGAATAAAAATTAAACTAAAACATACTTGAATGTATAACAAAAATAAATGCATAAACAAGATATTATTCTCACAATTCGAGTGAAATGATGTTGGAGTGTATAAATCAACGTATACACTCCAACACATTCGGGTTTTTCTTATCTCCGTCCCTCTTGCAAAGAGTTCAAGATGTTCAAATTTTAAACTGTCTAACATTTTGAGCATTGAAAAGACAAATGTACAAGCTACAAAAGTATTGTGTCCTAAATCGGTTTGAGCTTAAAGCTTTTGTTTGATAAAGTATAGCTGTGATTCCTTGGAAAAGGGCTGTTAGTCAAGGCACAGGGCATACCATCCTCCTTCTGTGCAGTCACAAGTTTAGCTCAAACTCTTTCCTTACGTATTTTCGTGAGAGCGTATTTTTTTTCCAACGCCTGAAACTAGCGGGTTTTCGAGTTTTTATTTTTTAAAATATGGCTTATTGTGGATCAGAAGTATACCGGTTTTGCAATTAGAATTTTAAATGCCCATAAAATGGAATTTTTTAAACTCGGAAAATTTCATAGGTCAAACGAATTAAAAATGGCGGGCAGTCAAAAGCTAGAAAAACGGATGGTTTGCTTCAATTTTCTCCGCTTTCATCCTTTATCATAAAAATAATATCATTAAACATCTACTCGTGCCATGATCACAGATTCTATTTGCTTTCTACGTCTCGGGTAATTTGCCATCGCCAAACCCTCACTTTCCATGAACTTCATTCTTCGGTGTCTTTTATTAAACTTTTTCGATTCTCTCGATCACAAGAATCTCCCTCTCGAAAAATCTGCGCGTTACATAATTTCGGTTTCATGACCACTCTACAAAAACAGCACCCCAAGACTGAAGTCATGTGCGCAACCTATCCTACAAAGAACTCAACATAATTTGGAGTCTCGACTGAGGTAAATATCATCATTTCCAATCACTATCTTGGTAACCACAGTAAGTCAATTTACATGAGCACCATTTTACACGTCAAATTCCCTGATTTCTTTTAAAATCATCACACAGCTAAAGTTTTTATATCAATCGTATAGTCAACAATTTTAAAAAAAACAGCACACTAATACTACATCACGCAAGTTTCTAACTCCTATCAAGCCGGAAGCACAAGGAGTTTCAGGAACTCCATCATCGAGAAAAAAGTCGATAAAATCACAACTCTCCTGGCTCTCACAAATCGACAACATTGCTTTCTTCCCTCTCAAATCCATTGTAAATATCGATTCAAATCGATCGATTTTCATACATTTAAACAGGGGATGGGAAAAGCAATGTTGCCAGCTCTCAAAAACTGCTATGAAATACAGGGAATCAGCGTTCCCAGGAGAATCCGTGAGCCTACCGAGTTTTTCCCTCAGTATCATAGCCTCCGAGTCGCTTAACTTTACGTATTCCTGAGGTGAGTTTCGGAAAATTTTCCTCAGTCTGCACTTAAAGCATGCTATGGAATGTCTCAGTTTCGTCTCCACTGCGCGCCGGGTCACTCCCGCGTCAACGCTTACAATTCTCAGTAACGGCTAAATTTTGGAAGACGAGAATATTCGATCCGAGATCGCACGCGCTCAGTGGCGATTCTCGCAAGTTGGCAACGCTGTTTTCCTCTACATTCAAGATCGATCATCGATACATCCCCATTTGCAGCTATGTTAAAGAATCGATTATCAAGGACACCTTGTTTATCGATCCTTTTCAATAGATTTAAATCGACGTAGAGAGAGACAGCTATGCGAAATTTCAAGAATCACCCCTGCGCGCGTTAATTTACACGTTGACAAATTTACAGGTCCTTTCGTTATTTACAGTAGAAAAAAGTCAAGGGGAGAGTAACTTGTAAAAGTTTTTGTACATTTTCGAGATATCTTGTCTTTCCGGACTCGCTTACACAGCCATGGGAAGGGGCTTGAGGTTGGCTATGGAGCTCATTCTTCGGCACTGTCGGACGGGGACCTTGGGGCCGCCGGTGAGGTTCCTCTCGATGTCCTCGAGACTCTTGCCCTGGGTCTCCGGCACGAAAAGGACGACGAAGACGAGGCCTACGGCGCAGATTCCGGTGAAGAGCCAGAAGGTTCCGCTCGAGCCGATGAGAGCCAGCAGGTCCACGAAAGTCTTCGTCACGATGAAAGTGCACGACCAGTTAAAGCTCGTCGCTAGAGAAGCTGCCGGGCCTCTGATCTTGGCTGTAACGCAAACGAATCTTACCGTTAAAAACTTTTCAGATTAATTTTTTTTACCGATAATTTTTTTTACCATTGATAATTTTTTTTTTTGCTTCACTCGTGTACTGCTCTGCCGTGCTAAGGAAAAATGCCGTGTGAACATTCGAGGGTTGCCAAATTTCCCTTGATAAGACATGTATTTTTGACGACATTCATGCATATTTTTCCTTGAAATTTTTAGACATTTTAGATTTCATTGCGTGCGAAATTGTCTGAAAGTTGTGGGAAAAAATATTCAAAATTATCCTGACAAATTCGGTTTTTATCGAAGGAAACTGGGCAACATCTGAAGGTTCATACGGCGTTTTTCCTTAGCACGTCAGTTTAGGATTACTATCCAAGAAGCACGGAGAAAAAATTATCAGAGTACCCGTAGGAGCGTCCTGTTAAAAATTTTCAAATCTGATTTCTTTTTGAAGCAGCCGGAATTCCCGTCAACCCAATGAGATTCTGTTTTTCAAATTCATGTTGTCTCATAACACTCGCAAGTGTTTCAGTTCGCGTGTCCTCGTTTTCAAGCAAACTTTATGAACTTCCTCGAAGGATGGCTCGTTTTTATGGATTACTGCTATAAAGATCAGCTTTTAAAACTTCTTCCCAAAGTCACGTGAACAGATCGTATTTATCGGTTCACTTTGAGCTTCCATTTTGACGCCATTTTGACGAATGGACACAAGGCTTAAGGAAGTGTCGAGTCCCCGAAAGTAAAAGCTTCAGTGGCATGGCGTGTTTTGCGATATATCGATTGATTTGCCATTTAAACCTATGGTAAAGAATCGATTATTAAGGTGTTCGCTGCGAACACCCTGTTTATCGATCTTTTTCCGTAGGCATAGGTTTAAATGGCATAACAATCAATATATGGCAATTCACGCCACGCCACTGAATAGCTTCCACCTGTTACCAAGAGGCCAACGGAGGGTCTCTTGTCTCCGGTTTCAACAATCCCCGAAAGGTAAAAAATCCTAGAGTACCTTTATAGACAGAGTATGGCCATTCGTATCTTTTTACTACAGGAAAACTGTTCCGCTTTTTGATCGGTCAACGAGTTTTTAGGCTTCATGATGCTCTTAGGGCCGTAAATAAACAAACAAGATGGCGACTCACCGTAACATCGATAAGAAGCTAAATTTGACAAAAATTTCAATTATACGGCAGTAAAAGTTTAAACTAGCATATCTACGAATAACACACGAAAAAAACACGAAAACTATTGTTAAATCGCCTTTCACCTTTATCACAGGAGGATGTAAGATGTGCATAACCTCAATCTTTTTTTTTTTTTTATGGAGAGTTTAGTGGCTTCTATTCCTTTAGGATTCTACAGCCATCTATAGGCACTATTTATTGTCCGAAGACATCAGGGAGTTTGGTAGACATCCATGCTCGGGCTTACAAATTTTCACGGATTAAGGCCGAGCGAATTCTGCTTACAGATCCACTCGTCAGTTCCATGAAAATTTGTCGCCACCACCGGGATTCGAACCCGGGACCTATTGACCTAGAGTCAGACGCGCTAACCACTAGGCCAACCTGGCCGGCAACCTCAATCTTGCTTGCTGATAACAGCCATCTTCTTTGTTTATTTACGGCCCCAAGAGCATCGTGTCAGCCTATTCGCTCGCGACCAATGAAAAACCGGAACAGAAATGGCCATACTCTGTCTATAAAGGTACTCTAAAAAATCCAAGGTAAAATATTGTATTACCTGGTAGGATCTCGCCCATCATGAGCCAGGGGATGGGTCCGAACCCGATGGAGAACCCGATGACGTAGATGACGAAGGAGGCGAGGGGGATCCAGCCGTAGGCGGTGACGTCGATGTTCCTCTCTTTGGCCCAGAAGAAGAGACCGAGAACCCCGAGGGTGGCGATCATGGCGATGGAGGAGATGTAGAGGAGCACCTTCCGTCCGAGCCGGTCGATCAGCATCGTCGCCACGAACGTCGAGCCGAAGTTGACGATCCCCACGATGATGGTGCAGATGTTTCCGTCGATCGTGCTTCCGGCTTCCTGCAACATCGTAAATAGCAATCGTTAGTCAACAGATTCAGCAATCTGCGGGCTGATTGTTGAAATTGTTAGGCAAAGCTATAGATCGTATTCGATACATCAAACGGGTGAGATTGTATCGATATCGATTGGTTCAAAGCATAAACATAGCCTCAAAAGTAAATTCAGAAATCTGAGAGAACGGATCTTTTGAAACAGATTTTTTATTCTTTTGAGTACCAAATGCCAATGCAAAGTGGAATTGTCAGGAAATGTCTCATTTTCAGCTTTTCCAATTAAAATCCTTAGAGTTTGGTTTGAGGTTATGTTCTATTGTTTTGAACCAAACGATACATCGAACCGTTATCGAATACGGTCTTTAGACAAAATAGACATAAGGATTATGGAGCGATCGTGCTGGTTGAAATGGGTGGTTCTTATAGACTAAGAGAGAAAATGATAGACTAACCAAAGGGTTTCTTGTGGGTTACCGTTAGTTAGTCTAGTGCCTACCTCCTTTGTCCATCGCAACCACCCGTTTTCACCAATAGGATCCCTCCATATCTTTTTTGTCTTCTTCGTCCATAGCTTTGTCTATCGATTTCGACAATCAGCCCGCTGGGTCGGGTAAAGTTTACCAGAAAGAAACCATCTCGATGGAGAATTTGAGAAAGATCAGGGTGTCTACAAGTCCGGAATTTCCGGAAAGCCCGGAAATAGTACTGATTTTTTAAGGGCGGTTCGGAAGTACTGAAAAAGTGCGGCAATTCCGTTGAAAGGCTCCGAATTTTTTTTTTTTAATTTTGTGTCGTTTCTGTCTTAATTTGAGCGAGAAACTTGAATTTTTGAAATTTTCCGAATTTCGTCAATTGAAGGTACTGAAAAAGTACTGAATGTTTCTGTCGAGGAGGTACTGAATTTCTTGGGAATGTACTGAAAAAGTACTGATTTTTGGCTAACAGCTGTTTTAGTAGACACCTCGAAGATTGCTGACGCTCAAAGACCTGAATATTTGTGAAAGCTCCACGGGGGAGTACGGGAATATCTGCCATGATGCCTCGAGAATGTATGCCTAATATGCCTTACTTCATGTTAAAAAAAATCAAATTTAATTTAAGTATTATGAAAGTCGACATTTTTAAATGACTGTTGAGCACTCGCGAGCATTAAATTAGCAATCGAATTTTAACCGACAAAATTGAGGGAAGAACATCAGCCATAACATGCCCAACCCGGGTACTCCGCATCATTTCAACAGCTTTTCTGGCAGCATTTCTTTCCGTTCAAATTGCCCTCATTCAAGCTTTTATCACCCTTGCCCAGCTTTTAAGGCTTTTGATTATTCACGAGCCATTGGTTTAACGATTGAACTCTCATTCTGGAACTTTCTGGCGGGATTTTCGGGCGCTTAGCTGTTGACAACTTTTTGTCAACATTTTGTATCAACTCTTAAAATTCTAGCAAACCTCAACACTACAACCCTCTGTCAAAATGGTTTATTTTGTGATCGTTTGAGCGTCTACAGGAAGAGGAGGCTCCAGCCAACATTTTGAGTCAAAAAAGCGCTCAAAAAGTTCAAAGCGAACTGGAGTTACAGCAACTTAAAGGTTGAAAACTAAAATCGTACTATCTGGAAGAAGCTTTTTAAAATTATCATTTGCCGTATTCAGAGCACAAAAGTTTCGAGTTTTATCGACATTCTACCCCNAAATGTATGCCCTCTAGCGGCACAAAATGAACTAAACCGCTCGCTATTAGCCCTTTTCGAGAACCGGCGATATTTTTATTCGGAATTCTCAAAATCCCACTCGAAGCTATGGTAAAGAATCAATTATTAAAGTGTTCGTCGCTAACGCCCTGTTGATCGAACCTTTCCCATTGGTTTAAATGGCAGACTAATCGATATATCGCAAAGCAAGCCACACGTCTGCGCTCTACTGAAATTTCGACCCCGTGGGCGGTCATTCTCTAGCTCATTGTATTCCTTGCACGTTTTATCAGTGATTTGGATTTTCCTAGAGACCAGTGTCGCATTCCATCAGTGCTGTGGCGCCGCGGGGGTATTTTTTCGGTCTCATATGGAGGTGGATGAGATGGAGGGGAGAGGGGAGGTTCGGTCTTTGTAAAGGGAAGCTTAGGTCCGAACACGAATCAGGTTAAAAGCTTCAATGTGTTTGCGAGGAAAATAATAAAAAGCGTTCCCCCGCTGCCTGCTCCTACGTTTTGCATTAAACGCGGTGTTTTTGTGTGTAACAAAGGCGTGTCCTTGCCACGCTCCTCGTGCTGTTGAGGGTGGAGGATTACAGCGCTTCAGTCCACTATGAAAAGATTGTGCATTTAAAACTGTCGTTCATCGTGCTCTAATGTAATTCATCCGCTATTTTTAAGGTTTTTTTTAGGTTTTATCTGTTTTTCGTCGCGCCGTGTTTTGGATAGGTTTTGAATAAGAACATTATTATCTCTCGATTACAAAGTAAAACTTTGGAACTCGACCAGCTCGACTTTAAAGTTTCCTCTCGCTCATAAAAAAATAAAACTATTTTCTTGTCAAATTGTGCACACTACGATAAATTGTTGGCATTCTAGGCAATACCATCTTTGACATCACATTGTACTTTGCGATTGATGAGTTTCTCAGTGTTTTAATCGATTAACTTTCGATTTAGTCGCATAGAAGAAGAAAATATAGCTTTGTAAAATCTGATGTAGCAGGTTATTTGACAAACGTCTAAATAATTTTTTATTGGCCAATTTTGGCTCAAATTGCCTCTTTATTCCTTTAATTTTCGTTCAAACAAATCGTTCGGTATCAATAAACGTGAATATTTCGCCCAAGAGTATTTTTATCGTTTTCCAAGCGGCCTTTTAACGCGGAAGCGTATGAATTATTGCCTAAGTAAATCAAACCATATCTTTTAAAGCACTAGGTTTACTATCATGACGAATCGGGGCGCAAGGAAATCTAAAGCGCCTTAATTTTTCTCCTAGGCAACCAGGGCAGCCCTAAAAGTAAGAATAGTGGCATGCCATACGCGTGCAGGCGCTTTATCGTAATTTGGAACTCACCTTGAAGATTTTGACGGTGTAGAAGATGACGGCGTTGATACCGCTCATCTGCTGGAAGAACATGAGTCCGATGGAGATGAGGAGAGGCCTCCTGTACATTTTGGCGAAAAGCTCCGAGCAGCCGGCGGTTTTCTCGTTCTTGTTACTCTCAGCGTTGGTCTTCTCGATTTCGTCGAACTCAGCCGAGATATCGGCGTTCTGGCCTCGCAGCCATTGCAGGGCTTTTCTTGCTTTCTTGTGTTTATCTGTAATCCATAAAACAGCACTGTTAGTGTTGATACGACCAATAATAAGGCGAATTCGGGAATCCTACAAGTTTTCAATCCGAAATATATTATGTCTCAAATTTTGCATAATCCCATCAGTCCTTTCGGTTTTTGTCTGAGTATTGACTTATTGTTTCCGTTATTTTTATCCTTATTTATCACGATCTTCAGTCGTTTAAAATATCGGTCATGCAGATCTACAAAATCATTCTTAATCATATCGTGAGAACAAGTTGAAAGCAACTACGTGATGCTGAGAAATTCAAACATTTTCTAAACCGTGCTGTCCCACCGTACGTTTGAACAACGAAAAATGTTGTGGAACGGATGAAGTTGTGCAAACTATAGTCCATTTATATCTTTCGTTCTAATTGCAGATTTTACCAATTGGACTACATTTTCTATTGGGAACCACAATCGGGCTTTGTTCAAAAACAATGTATGTGCTACTAGTTTCCCTATGCATACGTATGTTTTCACGACTGGACCATAACTTATTGCAAAATGAAGTCCAACCGTTACAAATAATGAAAATTGAGGGGACCAGAGATCCGTATACGATACAGTAATGATTGTCTCCGGGTAGTCTCCGTAATAGCCTACACCAGTGGCGTGGCGTGTTTTGCGATATATCGATTGATCGGCCATCTAAACCTATGGAAAAGTATCGATAGACAAGGTGTTCGCAGCCAACACCTTGATAATCGATTCTTTACCACAGCTTCAAATGGGGAAATATCGATCGATCGCAAAGCACGCCACGCCACTGGCCTACACTGAAAAAAAAACCTCGGTGTATTTACTAAGAAAAGGGTAAAATTACCAAGAATTCAGGGTTCTATTTGATCCCAGTTTTTTCTTGGTAAAATTACCATTTATGGAATTGGTAATTTTATCGAGAAATGTCGGTAAAATTATTGAACTTTCTCGGTAATTTTACTGGACCTTGGTAAAAACGCCAATATCTTTTATCGACTGTGGTAGAATTACCGAGATAAAATGGCAAAGTTACCGGGAATTGATTACCAATAAAAGTGGTATTCTTACCTGAAAAAAAGACTAAAAATACCGGTTTTTAGGTAAGCTTACCAGTCTGTCTTGGTAAAATTACCATTAATTGGTAAACAAGTGCGATGGTAAAGGTACCAACGGACCTTGGTAAAAACGCCGAGAATTTTTTTACAGTGTACACTAACGTGAAGGTGAAATTCGGACTTACTTCTGCCGATGTACCAGCGAGGGGTCTCGGGGATGAAGAACATGCAGATGAGGAAGGGGACCGGGATGAGGGCGCCGGCGAAGGCGAGCATGGACCAGTCGAGGTAGGCGCCGGCCACGTAGCACAGGAGGATCCCGATGTTCCCCAGGGTCGTCGGCAGGAGACCCAGCATCCCGCGCACCTCCGGCAGCACCGTCTCGCCCAGGTAGACCGGCAGCGCCAGCGAGGCGATCCCCACGCAGAACCCGGCGATCGCTCGCCCGGTCATCACCATCGCTACGTTCACAGCCAGAGCGATCAGAAGGAAAGCTGAAACACACACCAAAAAAAAACAATTTTAGAGTCGCCGTGTCTGGCCATTCATCAGGGAACGCAAGAATATAGACGTGGAAATCAGGGAATTAATGGAAAAAAACACACTGGATCTAGAGTCCAGACTCTTGAAAACATCGACAATAAAAAATACCCTTGATTCAATCGGATTTTTGCTTAAATCAAGAACCAAGCCTCTTAATTTGAGCGGATTTCCTTTTGATTTAAGCTTAAATCGGATTGAATCATGAGTATTTTTTCTTGTCGATGCTTTCAAGAGTCTGGACTCTAGATCCAATGTGTTTCCAGTGTTGCGCTGGTCACAGAATCGTGTTTCGATGCTTGATTCTTGTAGATCAGCCATAAGTAATAAGATCAGTCCAGGCACCAACTTTCTACGTTCAATATTAACCGAGATTTCGCGCTTTGAAAAGTTCGGTTTACAACGGCATCCACTGCGGTAGTGACCCTTCCTTGGTTTCTTCCACCTTGCTTTCATCAGTCACTCAAGAATGTTGAAGAATTAAGTTCTTTCATGCACTCGTCACTGAACGTGAAACTTGGATGAAAGCAAGGCGAAAGAATCCAAGGGTGTTACCACCGCGGTGGATGACGTTTTAAACCGAATTTTTGCGATTTTGTGCTTTTTTCTAACACCGTTTAGGTTTTTTTACCTTTTCCATTAGACTTTTCAAAATGTCGAATGTAAGAGTGGATGTCGTCGCCTACCTGACAGAAGGGCGTAACTACACTCTGTTAAGAACCCTGTCTTCCATAAATTTCAAAGCTTTTCCAGGCTCATCGCAATGTGTAGTCCCGCCCTTATGTCAGCCAAGCGACGATGTATGGCAACGAGCAGATTTCCAATGCACTCTGTATGGCTTCTGAAATTTTTTTGAAATCGCCCGAAAATTCCTCTTAAGTTGTTAATTTCACAAATTCCGGAAAACTCCGCGTAAGTTATTGATTTTTTTTGGAAAGCGGTAATGAATGAACATTGGGAACAGAACAAAACATTCATAACTTTTATTGACAACCCGGTAGTGCTCTCAGTGCATGAAATCGAATACATCTCCATCATTTTTAACATGGTCAGAACTTTCCCGACCTATTGTCCCATGGACGATCACATTGAAAGCCGCATTTATTCCCAGGCGGTTCTTGTCCCTCATAAAGGCCGAAACCGCACCCTTGACCCGACAATCCATCCCCCCGAAAGTGGGACCCAAGGAGAACGGAGAGATAAACCGGGGAGCGGTGTTAACAGGGCTTTGAAAACAATGGGCATTTGACGGAGTGTTCGCGGGTGAGATGGCGGGAAACAAATTGGACTCATCTGCGTTAACCCTTTGAGCACCATCAGCCCCAGGGCCCGGGGCCTCGGTTCATTGTTCCGCAAGGGAACGCGCTTCGTTATGTTGAAAGGGTCGGCGAAATCGACTCACGACACTTGTTGAATTGCCCAGCTCGTTGGAGCTTGAACGTAATCGTATCTGGGTGAAATTCCGAAGGGATTTTCTCCACGGGACGAGTGACTAGTTGTAAGGAATCCCGGAATATAACTGAAATTTTGGCCATTGAGGATAGAACCCTACTCTGCCGTGCTAAGGAAGAACGCCGTATGAAAATTCGAGAGTTGCCGAATTGCCCCGGATGAAACATGTATCTTTAGAGAAAATTGTGCGTATTTTTTTTTTAAATTTTTAGACGTTTCAGATGAAATTGCGAACAAAATTGTCGGAAAAAATTGAAGAAAAAATATTAACGATTTTCCTTGTAAATTAGGGTTTTATTGAAGTAAATATGGCAGCGTCTTATGGCTCATACGGCGTTCTTCCTTAGCGCGGCAGTACTAGCAACGATGGTTTAAAAAAGAAGTACTTTTGAAGAAATATTAAATTTACAAAAGACTTCATGAAAGAACAGTACACGTCCATGTTACAAGAAACCTGTTTCGGGTTGTTTTTAGGTAAATTGTACAAGAGATAAAATTCAAGTCAAAGATAGTGTCGAACTCTTTTCAAAGGTCTACTGTAGGTTTTTTTGAACTTAGAATGCTTGAGGAAAAAGTGTCAAAAAGCTCCTAAAAATAGTATTTTTTTCGAAGATTTTTTTCCTCATAAATTATATCAGACGTTAATTTTACTCAAACAAGTATCCAAAAAGGCTTTTATGGAATACTGAATCGTTGCCATTTTGTTTAAAGACTTTTTGAAATGCGCTCTTTGACAGACATTTTTAACAGTTTCTGCCTGATGATATCTGTTTAAATTTTTACTATGTATACAATTTTCGAATTATATACTTACAAACTATGAAAGGCACAGCAGTAGAAATGATAGTGGTCCGTCGACCAAGTGATTCTATCAGCGGTCCTCCTGCCATTCCACCGAAGAGAGCTGCCAAGGGCATGATACTTCCTATCCATGACATCTGTAACATAAAATAATTCCAATCGTAAATACTTATTCCAAAACGAGAAACCGGAAAAATTTGTAACATCGTCGAACATTTTTACGCAGAATCGCATACCATGGTTTAGAAGTAACTTTTTCTCGTAAACTTGGCATAGCATACATGAACTTAGATTCAATTCAATTTTAAGGCTCGTGTATCACCTACCGTGATAACGCATCGGAATTTTTTAATGTGGACATTCAAGTTTTCACATCGTGCCTCAATTTTAGAGCTGTTGAGTTTCATTTTCATTGACTTCTTCAATGTCACGGTGGAAATTCTTGAAAAAAAAAACAAAAAACATTGAAAACCTGGAAAATTCAGGGAATTTTACCCAACCCTGAAAAGTCAAGGAAAAATGAGGGAATTTCGCTGCAGAACCTTGAAATGTTTTCTTCGGGTGGAAAACTTTTTATTATTTTTAATTTTGCAGATTTCTCACTACTCATTTTTCGGGGAAGCATATGTATATTCCAGCAGCAATCAAAAAAAAAAAAAAAAAAAAAAAAAAAAAAAAAAACAATACTTCCTCTTTACCCTAGGGGAGCGAGAAAGTAAAAATATCCAGAAAGTCACGGAAAAGTCAGGAAATTTTGAAAGTTCAAGAAACCTTATTACCCTGTGTTCATACACAAGGATCTCAGGAAAAGTTCAAAACATGCTGCAATATCGGCAACAGCTCCGTCAATTGGTACGTCTATGGCCTCAAGAGCTGATGAGTTTTTGATACCCTTTTTTGCAATTTAATTTAATCCCAATCCGCGGTACATCAGTTATCACGATCGCTCCCGCTTTCAGTGGCGCGGCGTGAATTGCGATATATCGATTGTTATGCAATTGAAACCTATGAAAAAATATCGATTATCAGGGTGTTCGCAGCGAACACCTTAGTAATCGATTCTTTACCGTAGCTTCAAATGGCGAGATATCGATAATCGATTATTCACGCCACGCCACTTTCAAAGCTCACCGAAAATATCCGAACCTCCTACTTTCGGCGAGTAATTTCCGCTGGCAATTCCCGGCGCCTTAAAGAACCACTCAGGACGAGGAACTAGCGTAGGTTTTCGACCGAACTATTGTTGTCGAATGACACGCCAGAATTCGATCAAAAGAGCGCCTTTTTTTGGCGAACGACCGCATCGCCCACGTCGCGAAATTCTGCGCGAAATAGTTTCCTCCTCCAGTGGCGCGGCGTGCTTCGCAATATATCGATTGATCTGCCATTTAAACCCATATGAAAGGATCGATAAACAGGGTGTTTGCAAAGTACACCTTAATAATCGATTATTTAACATAGCTGAAATGGGAAAATATCGATAATCGATCATTCACGCCACGCCACTGGTCCTCCTCCGATTTTGATTAAGTTTGACGACACCCCAAATCAAAGAAGTCCTCGCCCTTGTCTTGTGGGAGCCATTGCGTCGTAGACGACTCATTTGATGGATTCATTTCCTTGGATTTTACGTCTAATTTGATTTAGACCCATGGGAATACTGAAACGTAATCTTTATACAGAATGGCAAACAAAAAGGAAACCACTCGAATGACGCGAATTGCCTATCCTTTTTCTGAAGGCGCTCCGCAAGTTTTCGTACTGTTCCTGTTCGTCTCTATTGCGGCCGCGCTGCATGCCTGGCGCTGGTTGTGAGTGCGACTACGCGTCACCGGGGTCAAAATATTTTTTTGCTCCAGTTTTCGCTTTAAGTGGACGGAACGCGTGGCCCTTCGCAAAGGTCGGAAAACACGGCGATAACGGAAGAAACACGCATCGAGAGTCTGATTTTGTTGACGTGAGAATTGCAACGGGAATCAGTAATGGCAACGTGACGGCCATGATGCCAAACCTACGGAGCAAACTGATCAAAGGAAATCAAAGGGTTACACCTGATTTAGGTAGAGGAACCATTGATTAAATCCGACGTGGAAAAATTGAGCAGAAATCACCTAAACATGCAGGGAAACAAGTCCTTTAAAAGTCAGGGAAAATTCGGTAAAGTCAGTTATTTTTACTCCGACGTGAACATTTAAGGAAGGTAGGAAGTTTTGCCATCGAACCGTAATGTTTTTTGCCTCGTTGAAATTAAGGGTTTTTGGTGTTGTGGGAAACCTTGAGAGTTGGAGCTAGGGAACGATTCAAAAATCTTGGAAAACCAGTGGGAAATAGGACAATTTTAAATTCAAGGAAACTTGTCACTATGTGAAATTTTCATCACAAAAACTGATTACTGCGCGCGATATTTCTTGCTAGATACGCCACTATTTGCTATGCCATGCGAAATTAATTTTTTTAGTACTTCCTTTCATCACTCCAGTGCAGATGACTCGGTGAGCTATGCATCGGTTTGTAGGAATATCTATGTCGTAATTACGTTACTGTAGTTGAAGAGGGGAGGAGAGAAAGTATTATTCGTATATTCCGTTTTATCACATTCTTGACCTTTCCTGCCTTTGCGTCACTGACCGTGTACCCAGCCCAACGCTGACCTTAGGTCGTGACCAGGAGACTAGTACAGGTCATGAACACCAGAAAAGAGGTGAAAATGAAATGTGTAATACGATGTCGTTTCGCTGAAAGACCGGAGAGAAGTCCCAACGTCATGAACTAGAAAAAAGATCGGTGGCAATTCTCTCACACTCGTTGCCTCATTAATCCGGTGAAATATAGGATGCTTAAAGTTGGCAATGCTCTTAACAGAGCGAAAGAACGACTCCAGGGGGACGCCTGACCTACTCAACACATCGCCAAAATTTCCACCCCCTCAACGATACCCCATAACGGACCGTCGAACACACATTCTATCAGCAGACTCGGGTTCGAATGACTCACAGCCTCCGCCCCTCACTCTGCCATTCTGTCTTGCTACGGAAAAAACGTCTTATGAGAAATCGAACGTTGCCGGAGTACTTATTTTTTATTTTTGGGAAGAGTCTTGAATATTTTGCCTCGAAATATTCAGAAAAGCTTGATTCAAAGTACGAGTAAACTCTGAAAAATTAATAGAAAACAAATTCGCCACTCTTATAGTAAATTCGTATTTTAGCAGAAACCGTTTTAGACAGTAACGGAAGTACAGGATTTTTCTTTAATCAACAAGAGTTGAACATCGTCAGATTTGCCCCTATAAAAAATTCAGCCTTAAGCAAATTCATGATTATTTTTCCTCGAAAATTTCAGAAACGCTGCACTAAAATGAGAGTTAATAACATAGTAAAAAAATTAGTGCGAGTAAAATTATGTTCCTCCGATAATTTTCCGGATAAAATTTCATGAGTACCCGAGAAGTTCATAATATATCTGAAGAAACTTGGCAACGTAAAAATGTTCTTATGGCGTTTTTCCATTGCATTGTTATCATTCGCCTCTCTGCTATCATTATCGTTCTCCGATTCCCATTGCACTGGGTCAACTTCCCCCTAGCATCCGCGACCCTGAGGCTCAGACAACATGGCCCCATAATCGTTTCCGTTCGTTGTCCTCCTGACCGACTGAGAACCCTCCGGGACGTTAAACGCGCCCCCAAATTGCTCAGCCCCCTCCCCCTCCTTCTCGGGAAATCTCTTCTCCCCGGGGACTCTTTTCGGACGCAAATACGACGCTTCATAAATATTTATGCTGTATCTTTTCGGGGCGTTCCCGTCCGCGCTGCCAGACGACACGGAAATACCTCCCCTTTTTAAAGGGGACGAAGGGGGTGAGTTTCGACGGAAGGAACGGCGCACTATGGTCCACAGACTGGATTTAACGGAACTTTACTCGAAAATGCACTGCACCGCTATAAAAGGTGTTGGATCTTATGTTTTTTGGGTCGCTGATTTCATTTTACATCTTAGTTTAACAAAATAGTAACATCCTGACCGAGAAACTTAACTTCAAATGTGATTTCTGGCGCTTTTAAGACTGAAGATTTTTTCCACCCTATTTTGACATGTATAAAAATAATAACAAAAGTGTCTCTCGGTCGAGATCAGATGATTCTCATGTATTTTTAGGCGGTAAATCCGAATATGACCTCCGTCTTGGTCCTTCGCCTTTAAATTTTCCGGAAAAGCCGATTTTACCCGGGAAAATGGACATTTTTGGTGTTTTTGCGACCGTTGACCTCTGCAACATGTAGGTAAAATTTTTTCCATGTACTAAATAGTACTATTTCGATGTATTTTGATCCACTGAGTCCGAAAATGACCTTTGTTTTT